TTTTTTTTTTTTTTTTTTGGGTTTTGGGTTTGCTATTTGGGTTTTGGATTTTGGGTTTTGGGTTTGGATGATTTAGTGGGTTTGGGTTTGGATGATTTAGTGGGTTTGGGTTTGTAAATTCATTTTGATGAACTTCACCCCTCCAACTTTTAATTTTTTCAATTGAGTCCTTTTTCTCGTGTTCTTTACCATCCTCCTCGCGAAATCCCTTTTTTTTTTTTACCCATAAACCTAACAATAGAAGCAAAGATAACAATATATTAGTAAAAATAAAATAAAATAAAATCCTATTAAAAATTTGAGTTATGACAGCTGGTCTCCTCGTTTTGCGTTGAGGTCTGGAACTAGTTCCAGATTTCAATTCTGGTGTTGTTGGCAGACTTCCTCCAGTATTGACCTCTACTTCTATAGGCAGACTTTCTTCAGCTGTCTATCTTAAAACCTTGAGATCTGCTGAAGTTTGACCTTCTGAGTTCTGCATAGTCAGATCTTCTCCATTTTCGAAATCTACAGGAATTTGTTGCCTAAATTTTTTTGTCCAAGACCAAGTGCTTGCTTCATCAAACACTACATCATGGCTAATGATGACCTTCTTAGTTAAAGGATTGTATAATCTGTAAGCTTTGGACTGATCACTAACACCAAGGAAAATACACTTTTCCCCTTTGTCATCAAGCTTACTCCTTTTCTAATTTGGCACATGTGCATATGCTATGCACCCAAAAATTCTAAAGTAATCAACAGCAGGTCTACGTTCACTCCAAGCCTCTTCTGGCGTCAAATCTGAAAGTGGAGATGTGGGACTTTTGTTCAAGATATGAACACTCCAATTAACAGCTTCTGGCCAAAACCTCTTAGGCAAGCCGCTCTTTGACATCAGACTTCGCACCATATGTATGATTGTGCGATTCCTCCTCTCACATACACCATTCTATTGAGGTGTATAGGCTGTTGTGAGTTGCCTTTTAATGCCATTCGACTCACAAAAATCTGCAAATTCCTTTGAATTAAACACACCACCACGATCTGTACGCAAAACCTTTACAGATCTGCCAACCTCATTCTTAGCCAAGACTTTGAAATTTTTAAAGGCTGCTAAGGCTTCTGACTTGGTCTGCAAAAAATACACCCATGTTTTGTGACTATAATCATCAACAAAGGTAATAAAGTATTGTTTACTTCCATTGGATGTTGGATTTATGGGTCCACACAGATCAGAACGAACCAAATCTAGCACCTGCTTTGCTCTCCAAGATCTATCTTTAGGAAAGCTGTCACGATGTTGTTTACTGACCACGCAGATTTCACAAATTTCTAAAGGAGAATCAAAATGAGGAAGACCATTTACCACCTTCTTCTGCTGCAAAGCTTTCAACCCACCAAAATAAAGATGTCCAAATCAGCAATGCCATAACCAAGCTGTGTCTTTTAATCTGGCAGATAAACATGACAGATTTGTGGTCTGCAAGTATAATGGAAACAACCTATTTCCCATCATCTTGACCTTTGCAATCAGACGAAGTTTTAAATCACGAATGTGACAAACTCCATCTTTAATAAGGATTTCATATCCTTTTTCCTAAAGTTGTCCCAGACTAAGTAGATTCGACTTCAAATCTAGTACATACAGAACATTAGAAATAGTTTGAATTGAATTGTCTTTGGCACGAATGGTTACCTTTTCCTTTCCCTTGACTGCAATAGTGGAATTATCACCAAATTTCACCTTGTCTTGACAAGACTCATCCAAATCTAAAAACGTAGATTTGTCTCCACACATGTGGTTGCTGCAACCAGTATCCAGATACCACACAATCTTCTTGCTAACTTCTTTAGGATGATAGACCATGAATAGAGAGGAATCGTCATTCTTCTCATTGTGTTTTGCAAAATTGGAACTTTCTCCTCTATTCAGATTAACACGGCATTCAGAACGATAATGGCCATACTTATGACATCTGAAGCATTCAATATTTGTCTTTCCTACAGATTTGGATCTGTTATCTGCAGCTTGATAATTTTTGTTCTGCCACCTCTTCTGAATTCTAATGGTTGAACTTTCCTCCAATCTGTCAGATCTCGGTCTGCCAGATCTTGGTCTGCCTTTCCAGTTTTCTTTTCCTCGACCTACAACCCTTGAATTAACTGTGGTCTGCAAGGCTTGTGTCTGTGAAATCTGCACTATTTGCTCTTGCTTGTCTTGGCGATTTATCTTCCGCTCATGAATTAACAATGAGTTCTGCAACTCATCAAGAGAAAGTGTCTCAATATCATTTGACTCCTCAATTGAACACACAACATGTCACGCCCCAAAATCCAAATTCGAGGCGCGACAAACGCCGTGCACTCGTGAGACGGGTCCCACAAGTGCACAAGGCTCGGAACTTATCCAATTCACATCTGACAATCCAATAACTCAAACTCAAAATTTCAAGGTAAAATCTATCTATCTTACAAAAGCATGATTCATTTCTAAAATCTATATAAATCTCAAAATGGCTATCCTTCTAACTCGTCACTTCCCGTGGTTTCCCCGTCCTCGGTTTCGCTTCCTGAAATGGTGGATAAGGAAAAACTATGAGATAAACTCAGTAAGTAAATATGGATAGCCCTTGGGTAAAATTTTAGCATGCTTGATAAACAATTTAACATAACAAAACATTCCATGATAAACCGTTAATGCAAAATCAAATTCAGTTCAGTAGGAAAGCGTTCAATGACAAATCGTCAATACAGAATCAGACTCAGTTCAATAGAAAAGCATTCAATGACAAACCGTTTATGTAAACCCATAGCATGCCAACAAGTGTAATTGCGAAAACGGATGCAGTACGGGAACGAAATAGACGTCTCCTCAATAGGTCATGGCCAGTGTTTAAACCTCCCACTGGCAGGCTATAATATTTGCTGGTATTTAACCCCCACTAGCAGGGTCAGTATTTGCTGGTGTATAACCCCCACTAACAGGGTCAGTCGAACAAACCGGTCCTATCAATAACATGTCGACATGTGCTAGCGTTTAACCCCTACTAGCAGGGTTAGTAATGACACGACCATATTGGAGACAAAACAGGCAAAAGTTAACAGAAAAATCATTCTTTACAAATAACTTTCAGATCATCAAGGCAATTCAGAAAGTTTCAAATAAGCATGCTCTACTTCAGAAAAACAATGAAATTCTCATTTTCATTTCAATCACGCTTAATTCCAGAAAACAATGGAATTCCCCTTTTCATTTCAGAAAATAATACTTTCCATAAAAATCATCACAATTTTCATTTCAGTTAAATCACACTCAGATGTCGGTAAAATCAATTTAAACCTTGCCACCATCTCAAAAACAATTTAAAACATGCTTTACAATCGAACGGCTTTACCATAATTTACTTACCTCACTCGCTTAAAACCAAAGGCTCAATTCACGGTGCTAACTGACAGAACGATCAGAAACCTAATCAAAACACCTCAGAATTAATACCGGACTATCACAAATTCAAGTTAAAATCATCATGACTAATCCCTAATCACGATATTATTCCTATCAATCTCCAATAACCGAACCTCTCCAAATTTATTCTTATATCACAAACTAATCATTTAAATCCCCGTTAATTGTTAATTGTTAACCCTCGGTGTGTGAACAGTGCCTATGAACAGTATCTGTGAACAGTGCACATGAACAGTAAATGTAACTTATGAGCAAAATGGTCACAAACCCTCTTAAACCCGAGTAATCAATAGATCAATCCCTAATTTCACTCAAAAGCTCCTAAATTACATTTATCCATCAACCGAGAAAACCCAATTTGGATTTCTACTTCCACAGACAAAAAAAATGGAAGAACAGGACTTGTATTCAATCAATTGTCTTTTGCAAAACAATACCTAAGACACAGGATTTCCTCCAGAAAATTCACAGCAG